CAAAAAAAAAAAAAAAAAAAAAAACTCTTCAAATGAATAATTCCATTTGTTCTTTTTATTTGTCACTTTATAGCAAAAAAAGGCATTAATTAATTTTTTTCAGTTCCGCCCTTACTACTCCAACTAACATAAGTTTTCTTAATTAATATATAGGTGCCCAAAACCTTGAACGGCAAATAAAAAGTTCAGAAGGGAGTACTATATGTACTAGTTCATCTTTATCCTTATAATGTGTAACTATGTGTGTATATTTGAGTATTCGCAAGAGTTTACTTGTTGTTCACAAAGTAGAACAATGAGTAGCCTTTCGAATAAAAGGCAGCAATCTAACGAAGGTATCAATAGACTCTGACTAATTTCCTTGACTAGATATGAACAAGGATTTGACTTGAAAGTAAACAACAAATTCCAAGCATTACGTTACAGTGAATTGTGACCTTTGGCCGCTCCAATCTTGCATTTATTTTTTCTTGGTTCCATTTAATTTAATGATAATTCGATTTTTATCATTAAATAGAATTAAATTACTGGTACAGATAAGTAAATCATGCTTCTTTTGTTTAGAGCATTCTTCAATAATCAGCGTAATTGAGGAAGAAGCAAGAGCTGTGCATCACAAAGTAAATGATAATCAATTAAATTTTCCTAAAAGTAATACTTACATCTTTGTTTTCAAGCATGATTCCTCTTCTGTGCTATTTCCTAGAAGCAACATGACCCTTGAATGCTATCCAAGAAATGAAGACAGAAAAATAAACAATTTCAAGATAAGAGAAAAGGAGTGGGGTACTAGCACCCGGAATTGACTTGACTTTTGACTCAAAATTATTTTTTCTCAAAATTTTATTATTATATTTTTAAAAATCACGATGTAAAAATAATATTAATGATAAAACTGATATAAGGGGCTTTATTGAAAAGAAAAACGTCCACTTGAACTGAAAGAAATTCCAAATACACCTTTTTTATTTTTATTTTTTTTATCTAGTACTCCCTCTGGTCCACTAATTAATTTTTTTGTTGTTCTTACACATATTAAGGAATCCATCTTTTGACATTAGTTAATAATAAAATTGATCTGATTAATCTTTATTATTTTTTAAAATTAATTCCTTCTTAATATTTGAAAAAATCAAATATCGTGAATCACAAAAAAGGCCAAAAAAAAAAAAATTCAATTCAAATGGACGAAAAAGTACAATTGAATGGTCAAATTCATTAGGTCTATTCTTGGTTGAGAAGTAAGGAACAGTCCAACCAAAATGTTTATTTTGACCAGATATGCTTTAAATATTATCAAGCAATTTAAAGCAAAACAAATAAGTCCTGATTTTATCATGAGAAAACCGCACTAAGAAAAGACTGAGAGTTGAATTAGGGATTTCCTGCCTACTAGCTACTTATTACACTATGCTAACTTTTTGCTAGCTACTAGTCATCATGCAATGCTGAAAAGGAATAATTAAGCCCCAAAATTATCGTGCAAAAACAGTGAGAAGGCGATCAAGAATATGTAATTAGGATGCATACAGTGGTTTATTTACAATTTGAGACCAAAATACTATTGTTTTCAGTGTCACCGTTATGAAATCAAGAATATTAACATAGGTTTTGGGAAAATGTTTTAAAAGGCAAAAGTGGAACTCATCCTAGTGTCGTGAGGCTTACACTTCAAACACCAATATTTGATCCACCATAATGATAAACTGAAGATTCTACTATAGTATTTCTTGAAAATTATATATATTTTCTTGATTGATCTAAAACAAATATATTTATATGTTGGTGGGTTCGTCCTTTTATTGTGCCCAAGCACGAGTCCAACTTATAGCCAAAAAACTCTCTAATTTACTGTTTAACTTTTTTAAATTAATAAACTCTCTAAGATAATATTTTTCTCCGGTTCTAACTTGGACCAGTGGAAAAAATCACCGATTTCGATAAGATAATAAAATAATATATTTTTGGAAGACCCCTATATAAATATATGGTCCCATTAATATTATAAATAATAATTTTTTAAAATTAGAAAAATATCTAAGACAATTTAGTGAAATATGATTCTAGTGTTTTTTGTGTTTTCTTAAAATTTAGGTTAATTTGCGCGATATGCCCATTTAAAATGCCAGTTAATACCATATATAATTAAAATATTTATTTTATCTTGTATACCTACTTTATAAATTTATTTTACCCTATATACCTACTTTATAACTTTATTTTATTATATATACCTACTATATTCCAAAATAGAATATTGTGTATTCCAAAATAGAATGCTGTGTATTCCAAATTAGAATATTGTGGTATATTTAGTTTAGACATTGTATTCCAAATTAGAATACTGTAGCATGTTTACTTTGAATATTGTATTCCAAATTAAAAAATTATCATATATTTGATTTGGATATTGTATTCCAATTTAGAATGATGTAATATATTTTGTTCGAATATTATATTCTAAACTAGAATACTATAACATATTTTGTTCGGATACTGTATTCCAAGTTAGAATATTGTGGTATGTTTGGTTTGAATATTATATTCCAAACTGTATTCCAAATTAGAATATTGTGGTATGTTTGGTTTGAATACTATATTACAAGTTAAAACATTTTGGTATATTTCGTTCGGATATTATATTCTAAATTAGAATATTATGGATGTTTAATTTGAATAATAAATTCCAAATTAGAATATAATAAATAGTATGCTTCGTTTAAATATTGTATTCTTTATTAGAATAATGTGGTATGTTTGGTGGATATTGTACTATCATTAGAATATTAATTATGGTAAGCTAGGTTTTGATTTTTTGAATTAGAATATCATGGTATATTTTGTTTGAATATTATAGTTCAAATTAGAATATTGTGGTATATTTGATTTTGATATTGTACTCTTCATTAAAATATAGTGGTAAGCTAAGTTTAGATTTTTTCAAATTAGAATATCGTGGTATATTTAGTTAGAATATTGTATTCCAAATTAAAATATTGTGGTATATTTAATTTGAATACTATATTAAAAATTAGCATATTATGGTATATTTTATTTGGATACTGTATTTCAAATTAGAATATTGTGGTATATTTAATTTGAATACTATATTAAAAATTAGCATATTATGGTATATTTTATTTGGATACTGTATTTCAAATTAGAATATTGTGGTAAATTTTGGATTGTATTGTAAAGTAGAATATTATGATAAGTTTTGGAATATAAGGAGGTATAGCATGTAGTAATATTTTTGGGATATTTGACGTAATTTCAAAACTTAGGTGTAACAATCCAACCGGTCGTTTTGAGAGTATTAGCCCCGAATCCCTATTTATTGCTCCCTCTACTTTATTTTGTGGTTACGCGACTTGCCGGGAGGATCTGTTTACGGCTTCGGAGTGTAATGGGACACATAGTCCATAAAATAGAAGTTTAAGTCGTAGAAATCGACCATAGTTTGAATTGTGTGAAGATAAATTCGGAATAGAGTTTTGACAGTTCCAGTAGCTCCATAGGGTGATTTAGGTCTTAGGAACATGTTCGGATGTTGAATTGGAGGTCCGTAAGTCATTTTAGCGTCAGTTGGCGAAAGTTGAAAAATTGATTAAATTTTGAAAAGTTGGACCGAGGGT